AAGCCGCCTTGCCTGCAGCGGGCAGCAGGTTGGGCCCTTTGGTGCAGCCCCCTGCCCCTGTCCCTGACACAGGCTTGAGGAGCTCTGCTTGGCAAGCGCCAGCTCGGTCCCTGCCTGCTGCCAGTGCCTGCGCACGCTCCTCTGCCAGCAGTGCGCCTGGGTCGCTGCGGGCATGGGCCACCCCTTGCCCCACAACCCAGCGGCTGCTGCGTGCCAGGCCCTTCACTGCTCTGCGCGCGTCTGCAGCGTAACTTGGGTGCAACCGAGCTGGAGAGCCACACGCCAACTCCGGACCCGTGGCTCCAGGCACAGGGAATGGTTACTGGTTGAGTGGGCTCCAGCCTTTTCCATTCACATGCTGATGAATCACTTGACAAAAATGCAGCCCAGTTCTAGGCAGATTTGTTCTGAACAGTGTGGCTTTGTTGGGGGGATGGCTGTGCTGCGGTTTCCCTGCCAAGACCCCAGCAGCACAGCCAAGCTGCTCTGTGCCAGCCAGGAACTGGAGCGGTGAGGAGGGTGAGCCGCAGAGATCGCAGAGGGGACCACCAGGACGAGGAGGCAGGGCTGGGTGCCCAGAGACCAGCAGTCGGACCTCCCCAAATGCCAATGCCCACGTCAGCTGCGTCACCCACCACTCCTTCTGCCAGCCTCGACAGCCACCAGCCACAGGGGCGCAGACCCTCCATGAAGCTGAGCCGAGGCTCTCCCGGCTCCCTGGGCACACAGCAGGCGCAGCACGCCACTGGCACTGGATGACTGAGTCCAACCAGGGCAATGCTGGAAACGCTCCTTCACTGGGCAGGACAAGCTGTGGCAAGAAGATGCACCGTGGGGCCACCCCAATCCTTGTGCTGGCCCCCAGGTCTGCAAGCTGTGGCCACCCCATAGAAAAGCCCCTGCTATGAGAAAATTTCATTCCATATGCACTTACTCAAACACCACCCAGCGCTCTGTACAATCAATATTTACACAGATAAATATTTATATGTCACCTGATTATGACTATTTCAAAAATTGGAAAGATATAAAAAAGCAAGTGATGCTTGCAGAGGACCAGGATTCTTTGCAACCTCATTCTTGTCTTCTAACTTATGTCAATGAAATCCATTAAAACTTCGATGAAATAGTGTGTACTTTAAAAAAATACAACAACAAACCAAACACCACAGTTGCACTTCTAGCAATTACTGGAAATATGTTGACAAAAACATTGTACGTTGCAAAACTAAAGCACAGTTGCATAGAGCTATTTGGTGGTTATAGAATAGAAGAAAATTTTGGAAATGCCAGAACTACAGTTATTTGTGATGGAGTTAACGACTAAACCAGCCACAAGGTTATATCCTGGATAAAGGATATAATGTAACATCCAAATATACATGTTAAAACTTTAGTTACTAAGTCTCTAGTTAAAAACTAAGTGCGGGAATGACACACCGGATAAAGGATATAATGTAACATCCAAATATACATGTTAAAACTTTAGTTACTAAGTCTCTAGTTAAAAACTAAGTGCGGGAATGACACACCGCTAAATTACTGCTTAAACCACAGCTCCATTATTGCACTAGGATTTCCACCATGTTCCTAAACACACTCTCCTGCACTTCAAGTTTGACCTATCTAGCTGATAAATGATCCAGTACCATAAACCTAAAAAGAAGGAACAAATAAAAGCATGAATTTTAGTTAAAGATTTTTGATTTCTCTTTCAGCTGAACATCAGATGCTTCTTAAAATGAAACACTGGGGAAGACAACCCTTTTTAAAGAAACTCACCTCTGCAAACTGAAACAATGACAACTTCTGACAAGCTTCCATAGAATTAGTCACATCAGATTGGCAAGTACTCAAGAAAACCTAGGACAAGGAGTGTGGAGAGTAAGACCTCAAGGGTGTTTCTTCCAAGCTAAGAAGAAGAGCAAGCAAAATAAAATACCAGGCAGCAGTAACACAAAGCAGTCTTTAAGAGAAGATGGACAATCTAATGCTTCACAGTCCTGGACAGATTAAATCAAATTAAAAGGTGAAAACATAGTTTAGCACCTATTTTAATATATTTGAGAATCACCTAAGAAGAGAGCACAAAATACCAGGATTTTTTTTTATTCCAAACTTTGCAAAGGAGTTTTATGCAACAAAATACTAAACTGATGATTTTGGGCTACATACACAAATACCTTCTATTAGGGATGCTATCAATGCTGCCATATCTGTAATTTATACTACCATTCTGAATAAGAAAATTACTTAGAAGCTAAAAAAAATGAAGTTTTGAAGACACTAAGGGTTGCTAAGTGACAGAAATACTTATTAGAAAAATAATCCCCAATCACCTCACAGCATGACAATAAGTAGTTAAAGGTACCACAAGCCTAAAATTCCTCAAATAATGTACCTAAACATCCGTTTAGGGGTGCTTATAAGAAGCAGTGCAAGAAAGAGTCATAACTTCTGAAATTAAAATACAGAGAAATTACTGTTCAAAAACAGCTTTATTCGAATTAACACGGAGTTTAGCTGTACTATTCTTATTAGCCAGAAATGTGTTAATCAAACATCACTCTGTAAAGGAATTGTATCTAATATGATATATTTATTACATGTCACATTTGACTATAAAAGATTTACATGTGTAAC